GGGAGAGAGAGAGAGAGAGAGAGAGAGAGAGAGAGAGAGAGAGAGAGAGAGAGAGAGAGAAAGACAGGGAGAGGTGTTATCCGCTGTGACCTTTCCCAGTTCATTGTACCTATTGCGAGATGAGCACGACCTGAAATGTCAGCGCTCCCGGCAGGGAAAGGTCCCTTGGGTCACGCCGGCAGTGACTGCGGCCGGGTCACTACGGGGGGAGTTCCACAACAGGATTTACTATATGGCCCATTCGACACGATCAGGTCAAGTCGTAAACGCAGAAAGTCATAAAGGCATAGGACGGCAACAGCAGGAAAACAATTACAAAAGCTTAGCCATGTCACTTAAGGGGATTTCTAGTTTGAGATTTAGGGCGCAATCAACATGGTCAAGTCCCGTTTTATTATTATTATCACTTCTGCTGTACATGTTTTACACCTCCAGTGACACAAATAACTTCGTTTAAGGGATGGGATTCTTTGACTTTGCCCGTCAGAGCTAACTCAGGCTGAGTGGGATACAACATTCTAGCACACTTTCAGGGCTACTCAATAAAAAAAAACCCCAACAACTTCCCAACTCCTGTCCTCTGCGTGTTGCGTGTAACTGCAGAGAGCACAGCCTCAACACCAATGACGCAAGCTAAGGCAAAGCCAAAAAGCACTAAACATTATGAAAGTATTACAGGATAATAAAAGGAAAACTAAAGTTCAGATAGGAAACTACTACACAGGAGCAAATTAATTACATTAAATAGGGGTTGGTCAACAAGTACTGTTGGGGTGTACAAATGACTACCTTTTTTTTCTGACCTGTTTGAGTAAACAGAAACACATCCACACAAAAATGGCCTTATTTAACTTTGAAGGCAAGAAGAAACAAAAAAACAGACAAAAATAACAAAGAAAGAAAAGATGCAGGCAGGGCCGACCAGTGGCGCCCTCCAACCAAACATAGAACAACAAAACGAGAATGAAAGCTCTGGATAGAAACTGCAAAAATGTGCACACTACACTCCTTAGGTCAACAAGAACTGTTTGAGTACACAAATGAATAGTCACAAGGATGACATTGAGGTTTGTGAAAAATAACGGAAGATTTATTATGTAGCATTTGCAAACCAAAAAATCAGTACAAAGATGAATGTTTAGAATAATAACTGTTGTTCATACCATCTAAATGAAAATAACACAGAGAGCCATATGCACCTTTCACTCTCTACCCACTCTTATCATATGCTAGCAGCAGTGTACTGATCATTTTCCATATATGGAAAATGATCAGTACACTGCTGCTAGCATATGATAAGAGTGGGTAGAGAGTGAAAGGTGCATATGGCTCTCTGTGTTATTTTCATTTAGATGGTATGAACAACAGTTATTATTCTAAACATTCATCTTTGTACTGATTTTTTGGTTTGCAAATGCTACATAATAAATCTTCCGTTATTTTTCACAAACCTCAATGTCATCCTTGTGACTATTCATTTGTGTACTCAAACAGTTCTTGTTGACCTAAGGAGTGTAGTGTGCACATTTTTGCAGTTTCTATCCAGAGCTTTCATTCTCGTTTTGT